GGTTTTATTTGTTTTAAATGGCTGAAAATTATAAAATTTTCATTAGCGATTCCAACGTTGAAATGAAAAAAAAAAGGGGACATTTTCGACATATCTTCAGTTATTTAAAACTAACACGAAATGGCTATTTAGAAAGAAAGCAAATTCTGCGCATTTTTTTTATTTGTTTTTTTAGAAGCTCTTGTTGCTGTTCGAACAGAACAATTATATTTTACGAAAAAATTGCGCTAGTGATTTCTAGATGGACGATGCTCTGCAACTGATTAAAAATTGTAGGCTGACAACAAGACTGAGTTTCAAAGAATATTCAAATTCATGTTGAAAATCAATTCTAACCGTTTCGCTAAGTTAGTTGCTTTGGTTTGCAGCTTAAAAGAAAATGTTGACTCTGCCTGCGACAAACTGCGCAACACACGTGACAGCAATTTCAGTAATTGGGCGTTATTTTTTTTTTTCGTGTTGTTTTTTTTTTTTGTTTTTCGGGCTGACCCATTTACGCGACTGGCAATGTCTAATGCGAGCAAATGTGTCTTTTATCGAGTCAACATCTCTAGATCGATTTCCAGTCGATGCTGAATAAATATATGTTCATTACGATCGACATCTTCAGAACAATTCCCTCTACAGAAATTCTCTCACAGGTCTTGGATGGTGTCCCATTCAAGATTATACATCAGCGTAGAAGTGAAACTACTGTGCCTATTTCAGTTGGCGGATCATTTCATAATCCTACTGGAAGCGTTAAATTGTTTCAAAATAAATCTTAGCATTCATTGTAAGTTTTATACCTCACAACCCCCTAGAAAGAAAGATATCGCGGGCCAAATCAAGTTATCTAAAAATGTAGCAAAGCCTGTCCTTATCCAAAAGAGTTACTACTGTGCAAATGGTAGTTTTCCAAAATAAAATTCATGCGCTATGGATGCTATCCTTAGAAACACGTGATTAATTCAAATATGTATTCTCCCTATCTAGACCAGTTGGAAAAGAAAACATCCGACAAAATCTATTAATCCAGCCATAAAATTCGTAGTTGTTCATTATGATAGAATGAGACTATAAGTTCAAAGTTGTTACAGCTAGTCTGAAAATTTTACTCCTATCAATTGTATTCAGCAAATTAGACAACTTTGGAATAGCATTTATTCATTCTTGAAAAGAAATTCGTTAATTGAGATGACTTAATTCACTAATGATGCCTAAAGCCATCCTGAAAGATTAAAAAGGTTTTAGGGAACTTGAATTATGAATTTTTATTAAAAATGGCAGAAGATAATGAAAGAAATGTTTACGTATTTTTAATGCTAATAACGCTATCAAAACATATTTGAAACCGATGTATTACAGCAATGAAGAGGTAAAAGAAATGAAAAATAAAATATTTACCATAATGCAGCTAAATTGGAATCGATGTAATACAGCAATGATGAGTTTAAGAAAACATGAAAAATTAAATATTTACCATAATGCAGCTAAATTGAAACAGTAAAAGGAAAAAGAAAAGTATTGTCGTTCAGATGGATAAACGAGAATATTCTTTTATTAAGCATTTCACCCGATGCAAGGCTGGAGTGCCACTAGTACGCAAGTGGCTACAGAGTGTGTAAATAAGGGAAAAAACTGGTTCCAGAGGGTTGAGGAAAGGATAAAAAGAAGAACAGTGGAGGATAAAAAGAAGAATGGCGATCAAGGCAACAGAAGATGTCGATTGACATTTCATTTACATGTTTGAAGATTATACTTATCAGAGACGAAAGTAAGAGGAAGGGTGTTCCACTGTCGGGAATTGCGAGAGAAGTTGTTGGAATAGAAGAGGCGGTTACATTTAACTGTTTCGAAATGAAACGGAGGTACCAAGATGTCAACCTTGTAGTACGCTTATATTATTGCAATCGGGGACTCAGTGAAAACAACTTCTTAGAGCAAATGCCATCAAAATATTTGTATAAAAGACAAAGAGAAGACACATTATATCAGTGAGAATGTAACTGGAATCAACATCCCCAAATAAGCACCGATCACATTGCATATCCGTTTTTGGATTTTGTCGAAAACCTCGTGATGAACAGCGGGAGCACCAGTCCATATATGGCAATAGTATTGATGCTTTCTACGGCTTACCAAACCATTTGCAGTTTTTTTTAAAGCACGTAAATATTTTTATAGATTATAAGAATTCGAGGGACATGGAGGGGAGATAATAATATTTTTAATGATACAAATCTTACTAATTAAATCATCGCTGGGAAAGAGAAGAGCTGGATTCATGCCTTTCACTTGGGTATTTGTGTGTAAGTCAATATAACGTACCGGAAGTGGAATTCGGCTTTCCGATTAACAATTTGGAACTATTATACATTACACCATTCTCACATTCTAGCTTATTGCACCTGCTATTCCCAAACGATCCTCCATCTAGGTGCTGACCAGGATCAACGTTGCTTAACTTCGGTGATCATACTGGTATTGGTGTTTCAATGCAAACCGGTAAGCAGAAATGAAAGCGGTACTTTATGTTCAATAATTTCCCTGTACATATTTTCTTTCCTCTTTTATTTTATTTTTGATATTTCTGTTTTATAGCCTTACTGACAATTTGTTACTCCGACAAAAAGACTTTCAATTTTAATGCGGGTCATTTAAAAAAAATATATACTTTTTCTATAGAAACAGAACGAATTTTCGAACACAAAATATTTTTAAAATAAATTATGACTTGTTAATTTTAATGCCTCCAAAACTAAATTGGTCTATAATAATCATCTCAGAGACACCTTTCTGCCTTCTACCAGGATGACTGATGCTAACCTCCTTAAGACTGACGGGTTGCCCCTTCTCTCATTAACGTTTTCGGCTGACATTGTGGCATGACTGTATGGAATCTATTGCTAGGTCAGCTGCTAACAAAAGTAGTTCACTTGATCGTGCTAGACAACTTTTCTCTCGATAATGTACCTTGCATATCTATAAGTTTACCATTTGTTAATATTTATAATATATGGTTCGGATATTCTACTATATATTTAGAAATCTTTGATAAAATCTAAAGAAGAGACAGAAATATTATTATCGCTCTCTGCTGTTCTAGTTACTTTTACTTTGTTTCCGCTCTTTAGTAATGTTTCTGTTTTCTAATTTGTTCACATTCATTACCCACTTCCTTTTGCTGAACTCGCTGAAAAAATAGTTATTTTTAAAACATTCTTCTATAGTTTTCAATAAATATTGACATTCTACATCTACAAAGAATCAACAGTGAGAAAAATGTTTCAACGATTGTTTAAAATCAAAATTACGTATTTATTCGAACGTCAGTTCTCTCAACAATCATCAGTGCGATTGGTAATAATCAAATACGATAGCCCTACTATAAACCAGACTTGGATTTCATTACCTAACTTTGCGGAAGCTTTTGATTTTCTGTACTCTATTCACTTGGCCTTATGCCAGAATTATCTTAGTCTAACAAATATCCATTAGCTATTTCTCTTCGTGTTATCAATTTCAAAATGTAATCATGGCTTTGTACATATGTCTTCAATGGTGTTTCTCATGTAACTACAAAATTTTCAATATCTCATCTTTGCTGAGAAATTCCCCTCTGCAGACTACCAAGACTGTGATGTAATTAATGTTCTTTCAGACACTCCTAAAGGCTACAATGTTTGAAGTTCGCGTTGATGCAATCGCGGCTGTCGGTGGCGAAACCAATCAAGCCTTAAGAACAATAAAAATTTGTTAATTTTCTCAACTCTGTATTGTGCCTTCAAGTTAGATGAGTTATGATCGGAGGTCACCGGCACCATGTTGGTTGTGGCCAGTTAATTAGGTTAGGTTAGGAAATACAGTCCGCTTTTACGAAACATTCATGTTCGAATGAATCTGTGTATGTTGCCATTGTATGGTCGATACGACAGAGGAATTAGTTACATCTTCTCTTTCCACGATTGAAATTATTCCAAGGTGTAAGTGACGTACAGTAGTGATTGCTTAAGGTGCCCTATGCAAGTCTGTAGACAAAAACAAAAAAAAAAACAAGTGCCAACTTTGGAATCTTCAAAAGTCAGGTATTGATTCTGTAGTGATTTGCTGACTTTTCGTTAACTCTAATTTTTTTTTTTTTTTTTCAGGTGAGAAAACTTTAAAACAGATTATTCAAGTTCTGGACAAATTCCAATATCTAGATTCAGGAAAATATAAGATTGTTTTACTTCTGGCTAATATCATTTGTTCTATTCGATTCTGGTTATTAATTGATAATGCTATTGGTGAAAATAGCTGTTTCCATATGAGAAAAAAAAAACCCAGCATTTATTGACCAATGAGATAACTTTGCTCTGAATTGAAATATCTATATCTATATATATATATATATATATATATATATATATATATATATATATATAGATAGGCATATAGTGAGCCAGACAAACCTGCCTAGGTTTCACCTAAACGGATCGTCAGGGAAAGTCTAGAGCCAAACTTTCCTGACGATCCGTTTAGGTGAAACCTAGGTAGGTTTGTCTGGCTCACTAGGGTGTATCTAGGTCTGCTCTACGGTTGTATTGAGCTCTTTTTGTTAGTTAGTTGTTACTCGTATCGGGGTTTTTTTCTTTGGGCTTCAGACCTGCATCTGTGCGATTTTTGTCGGCAGAAGTCCATGTTTGTAGCTCTTTCTTTTTTAAAACCTTTTTTTCCCTCGAGATTGATTTGATTAGCAAATCAAAAATTCGAGGGTTTTTCGAAACGAGTCTAGTTATCTATATTTATATGTATATATATATATATATATATATATATATATATATATATATATAACTTTATATATATATATATATATATATATATATATATATATATATATATATATATATATATATATATATATATATATATATATATATATATATATATATATATAAACTTTCTCTTACATTTTTCCTGCAATTATATTTATCAAATATTCTGACAGTCATAGTTCTTTTCTGGTATTGGTTGCCGGTCGTATTACGTTGAAACATCGGTCCCTATACGTTCACCGAAGTTAAGCAACGTCGAGTCTGGTCAGTACCTAGATGGGTGACCGCTTGGGAATACCAGCTTTATGTGCGTTTGTTGTGATATATACTGGCTCGAAATTGTAAATCGGAGAGCCAAATTCCAATTCCGGATGGGTTCGTTATATTCTGTTATGGGTAAATACCATTAGGAAAGGTATGGATCCAAATCTTCTCCCCCCGGCTTTGGGTTAATTAGTAAGATTTCTATCACAAAACAACCATCTTACAATTTAAAAATATTTTTTTCTGGCATAAATAACCTGCAAATGGTTGATAAGCTGTATAAAACCAATAAATCAATCTAGTGTGGATAGGTTTTTCTACCTGGACGTTTGAGTAACTTAGTGTAGAAAGATAGTCAACATCCTGATTATGTCATCATTTCCAATTCGAGTTACATTTTGCTATTGATTTTACTTGTTGATCTAAGTGTTCGATTGATGTAGTGTTAAAATACAACACCATTTCCAATAGACGTTTCGGAAGTGAACACACAGCAGTACTGGTAGGAGAGATAAAAGTTCCTGGACTTGGGAAACATATTTTCTTTAAAAAATATGTACAAAGCAAACAAAAACAGTAAATGTCAGGTTCTCATCATCAATTATTATCAGCCATTAATTTATGTTATTTTTTTTTTTTAGATACGTCATAATTTTATTACTGGCGATGCTTTTAGTTTGTACCTTTGATATTTAACTTTCGATTTCATCATGCTTTTTTTACTTGTAAATCTTTATTTATTATAAAATTTTCATATCATATCCGGCTTTTAGATGTTTAGGCCGCGCAGCTTAGATACGCAACACCTTCCTCAGCTCATGTATTTTGCCGAGCAGTCTACGACTTGAGCAATCGCATTGATGCCAAGAATCTCCAATTCGTTTTTTTGGGGGAAGAAATATTAGATACGCAACACCTTCTTCAGCATATGAATTGTCCCTAGCAGCCTACAACTTGTGCACTCGCAATGATGTCAAGAATCTCCAATTCGTTTTTCGGGGAGGAATTATACCTGGAAATAATCTCGAATGTGCCAACTACAAACTTGATCTCTTGCTTGATATAATTCTTTGATTTCCCATGCCATGTTGGAGCCTCTGTATTTTTGCTCTTCTCCGCCTACACGGTGTTCTTATCCCCATGTATCACAACCTCTATCAGGATCCATTCATGGCTGTTCTTATGCACAAGTGTGATATCAGAGCGATTGCTCTACAAGGGCTTGTCCGTCAAGATTGCCCTATCTAAAATGGGCTTCACTTGCTTATTTTCAGCTACTGACACATGGCGAATACTAGTAGTACTTCTCTGCTCACTCGTGGTCGTACTTGCTTCATTATTATTATCTTCATTTTCATTCTGTTTTGCCTCACTTCGTTACTTATTTCTTGAGTTCCTTTGTTAGTTCACACGTCCGTTAGCCCCTGCCAAGACGTCATGAATACTGGAATATTCCATGCTGACCGCACGAAAGCACGGAACTGACATATCAGAGATGCTGTTTGGGTTGTGAGAAAATGAATGAAATAAAGTAAAAAGGAAAAAAAAAAGGAGAAATAGAAGTGTTTAAAGGTTGGTTCATATAAACGTAAATGCTGTCAAAATCAAATTTGTTTGATTGTACCTCGTTACTTATAAATAAATATATTCATAAAAATGATGTTGACAAAAAGAAATGAAAGATAAGCAATAAATTCGTCGAAACAGCCTATCGCTAGGAATTGGGTAAATGGTAAGTATTTCCACATAAAAAAGGTCAAGCTAGAATCTTTTCTACAGAAGGCGAAATATCAAATTCAATGAGAATTTGAATTTCATTGGATTAAATACGGAAGCAAAAATACCGGAATTTTCCATAATAATCAACAAAGAGAATTTTGGTTTCAATGGGGAACTTCTTTTGGAAGTGTGCCTGAATATTAGAAATACTTATTATGTAACATGGTTTCAAATGGTGAAATTCTTAGATTAATGCCGGAGTATTAGAAATAGTTCTTGAGAAACATCAAATTGTGAAATTCTTAGTTGAGTGCCGGAGTATTAGAAATACTTAATGAGAAACATGGTTTTAAATGGCGAACTTCTGAGATAAGTGCCGGACTATTAGAAATATTTTTTGTGACTAATATTCCAGATGCGAATGGTGTAATACCTTTATGAGGGGCATCGTTTATAAAGAATGTAGTATTATGTCATCAGTATGTGTTTTGAGCCGGCAAAGAATATTAGAATGGAATATTATATGCGTTATCGCTTTGGATGATCAAAATGTATAAATAATCATCTGTATCACAGTTTCTAGAATCTTATCTGATGGACGGTAGAATTAATAATATGTTGATGAATTTATTAAGAAAAAGCATCATAAATATTTTTTCTTTTTTCCGACACTTGTTACTCAACGAGATCATAATTAAATAATTGCAAAGAAGAGCAATTAAAACGAAAACTCATTAGTAAAGTCAAATAAGCAATGATTCTTCAGAACAAACATGAAATGTACTGCTAATATTCCTACGAATATAACTAATACTACCACCACTATACACTTTTTGCCGTTAATGCCATATCTTTTCAGTAGGACGAAAACATTGACACTACTGAGATTTTTCTTCAGTATCTGTGAATTACTATGTATTATTGCGAAGTGTATTCCGTTGATTTCCTGTTGTCTTCTCCATTGTATGTAATTCAGTTTTTATTTCTCTTAGACTAGATAATATTACAGAGTCCAGTCTACCCTACTCCAAGTTTTTGTCAACCTTTGCCGTCACCAGTTATTGAACTCACATCAACGGATCCAGATTTCTAGTCGAAATTTCCTTTTCGTCTGCGTAAATGCATACTTGCAAAAATTCTATACCAAGAGAAGTAATCGAATTTTGAAATTATATATATATATATATATATATATATATATATATATGTGTGTGTGTGTGTGTGTGTGTGTGTGTGTGTGTGTGTGTGTGTGTTCGGTCCTATTCAAATGTGAACTTTGCTTTCTAAATAATTCTTGACTTTACCGTATTAGAATATAATTGAGCCTTTTTCCTAAAGTCATTCCCAGAACTTAAACTAAATATGAAACTAGCAAATTGATTTATACTTCGCGACTTTCTCCGGGCTGCTGATTATTATAGACCTCCAGAGATGGTGATCATTTGAAATTATCACGCGATTTTTTTTCTTTTTTCATTTTTTTTTTAATATTCTTTGAAAAGTGAAACTTTCCTGTTCCTATCGGCTTTGTTGGCTTCCAATTTAAGCACGCAAGTTTTTAGCGGCTGATCTTTGGCAAATCGCAACACACAAGTAGTCAACAGTCTCACTGCATGGATAAAATATGCAACCCATATTTCACACCGAGGAAATCTTTTTTATTCTTCGACACATTCAATTTAATTCGATTATAAATAAGTCACTTCCCAATTTCGAATCTAGCCACTTTATATCCAAGAATTTTTTTAGCATATAAAGCGAATTCAGAGATACTAGATACATTCAGAAACTCCTAAATTAATAATATTTACACAGTTATATTTACATACCTTTACTCCAAATATTATTTCATATGCATATCGGAAGATTATATAATTATTATTACGTTATCGTTGCACAGATTAATAAAAAGACTAGATTTAATCTCTAGTTCCTGACATAACATTTGCCTCGATTGATGTTTTCGTGCGGTTGTGTGACTATAGGGATTTCTCCGGACGTGCTTTGTACATTCTCGCCCCGATATAAGAAACCTTTTTATCATCTCTGTGGTCATATCTTTATATAACTAGTTGCCATACGGTTTTCCCACATCTGAAAAAAAAAACGATGTGCAGCCAGTTCGACTTAGGTTAGTGTAGTAGTATAGTTCGTTCTACATGTTGATGACAGCAACTGACTTAGCGTGAAGCACGGATCTCAATTTCGTGGATAGTAGGTCAGTTCTCGGGTTAATACATTGATGTACACGGCTTCTTTCAAAGTACAGCTTGTATTTTAATAGGATCTAAGTTGATTCTCAGAAAACACTATATTATTGTTATTATTATTATTATTATTATTATTGCAAATTCCTTGGGTTTCTGTTAGTATACACATTTCCTTTTCGGTTCCAACCAAAGATCTAAGGTTAGAAATGGCTTCATAACATCTTCTACTCAAAAAATGAAAAAAAAAACATTTAAAAAACATAAAATCACACGCATTTTACATCGATAAATATCTTCGCTATGTGTGATCTGTACTTGTGACTACAATTTATTTTGTATTTCTTTAACGAATGGGTTACATGGAACCTCGTCAATGAGTCTATTGGAACGTTTTCCAATCCATCCGAGGGGTCCATCTACAACTGGAAAAATTGATGTCCTCATGTGCCATATTTTCTTTAGATTTATACCTCAATATTTTGATAGTATTTTGAAGATCTTCAAGGATACATTACAGTACGCAGTAATTACCATTTCAATTAAAAGGTACATTCAGTTCTTGTGGTCTTTGATCACGATATCAATGCGATTAGCATTGATTATTCTGCGTTATTATTATTATTATTATTATTATTATTGGTGGTGGTGATCAGAGAACAGGCACAATGTGGCGCAAAAACTTACGAAGCCCAGTATACAAATAATGACACCCAGATTAATAAGTGAATACAAGCAACATGCATCACAATCAAATATGCGTGATTTGGTGTCATATTTTGAGAAATACAGTTCCTACCATTACAGATGGGACCCAGTTAGAAAATATGTTACGGATCGGTTAAGCCCGTCCTCTGACACGGCTCTAAATTGAGTGCGTTCGTTTTTATCAAGATATGATTCATAAGTCTTTTTTTTTCTGTCTCCACCCACCATTTAAAACGATGCAACCTTTTCGTCACCCGGCTATAATACCCCCAATATTATTATTATTAGTAGTAGTAGTATTTTCTTTGATTTCTGACGTTTATACATTTATTTCTGGGTTTCGCCCAGGGACCTAAGTTTAGAAATGGCATCATGACACTTTCCATTGACAAAAAAAAATACA